GCACTTTGTGAACCTCCATGTGCAGATTTCGTGGCAGGTGCAGCACTTTGTGAACCTCCATGTGCAGATTTCGTGGCAGGCGCAGCACTTTCTGAACCTCCATGTGGAGATTTCGTGGCAGGCACAGCGCTTTGTGAACCTCCATGTGCAGATTTCGTGGCAGGCACAGCATCTGGTACTGGCGACTTTGTAGTACAACTTTAGTACGCGGAGCAATTTGTGAGCTGGAAGCTGAGAACTGGCGACATTGTAGTACAACTTTAGTACGCGGAGTATCTGGCAAGCTGGACGATGAGAACTGGCGACTTTGTAGTACAACTTCAGTACGCGGAGCAAGCTGCAGCTAGAAGCTGAGAACTGGCGACTTCGTAGTACAACTTTAGTGCACGGAGTATTTGGCGAGCTGGACGAGGACAACTGGCGACTTTGTAGTACAACTGTACTACGCGGAGTATCTGTGGAGCTGGATGGTGAGAACTGGCGACTTTCTAGTACAACTTGAGTACGCGGAGCAATCTGTAGAGCTGGAAGCTGAGAACTGGCGCTTTGTAGTACAACTTTAGTACGCGGAGTATCTGTGGAGCTGGATGGTGAGAACTGGCGACTTTGTAGTACAACCAATTTAGTACGCGGAGCAATCAATGTGTAGAGCTGGAAGCTGAGAACTGGCGACTTTGTAGTACGACTTTAGTACGCGGAGCAAACTGGGGAGCTGGAAGCTGAGAACTGGCGATTTTGTAGTACAACTTTAGTACGCGGAGTATCTGTGGAGCTGGAAGCTGAGAACTGGCGACTTTGTAGTACGACTTTAGTACGCGGAGTATCTGTAGAGCTGGAAGCTGAGAACTGGCGACTTTGTAGTACAACTCTAGTACGCGGAGCAAGCCGTGGAGCTGGAAGCTGAGAACTGGCGACTTTGTAGTACTACTTTAGTACGCGGCTGAGTCATCTCTATTCTGTATTTTGCACAAATGCATGAACAACGGTTTTTCCTGCGAGACAGTTGACGATGGTTGCTTCGCTTTCGCTCCATTGGTCGGTTCCAACTTGTTTTGCCAAAGAACATCGCAGCTCGGCGAATCAGCCTGCCACATGCCCATTTCCTATAGGTTTATTCTTTTGGAAACTTCCGCCGCCGGCTTGCCCGGGAACTACTTGTATGGGTTTCTATTGGAATAGGGGAACTCGCAAAGACCCCCTGGAAGAGGAACATGGACCAAAACCCTTGTGGTTGTGGGGTCCACTATAAAAATATAAACCTATATATAGAAGTGTAGGATGGTATTTGGGACGGCGATTTGGCTCCCGACTTTGGGGCTTTCCGACGACCGTCCAAAACCGAATTCACCAGGCCACTGCAAACTCACCGGCACCATCTTTTTCAAAGTGAATGAAGGACGAGTTGTTGAGGTAGCCTTGAATCACCCTGCGAGCCTGAACGGAGGCACTGCCAGCGGGGTGCCGAAGCAGAAAGACGCGAGCGGCGAAAGCAGCTTAACAGCCAGAATCGTGAGTAAGTGGAAGGGATCTATTAATAACTTGTGAACAAAGGCTGAGAATGTGGATGGACAATTCCGACAAAATAAACATTTGTGTGCCATCGACATCCTAGTCAGGAGGTTGGAAAAAGCTTCCACCACGACCGACGGACCCAAAATAGTCACGGAGTGGGTAGAAAAAAAGGCCTCCGACAAAGTTTAATCGATCTTGAACGAGCGCAATGGCAACGTCGCAAGATGTGTCTTTACCAGGCAGTGCTGCGTTGAAACATGTGCCACTTGTCAACACGGCAATATGTTGTCATAGTGCACTTGCCCACATGTGTGAAAGCTTGAACTTGCCGCAACAAGCAAGAACCTGGTTTAACATGCTTCGGAAACGACTTTGGAGCACACCAGCATGCCAGTACGACAGCATGACCGGACGTCAGCATCTCAGCGCACATTGTCATGTTCACGCGAGCTGTGTCAGTATGCTAGCATGACAACATGTCAACATGACAACCTGACAGCATGTCAACGTGAAACCATGTTAGCGTATCAGCGCGACAACCTGTTAGCGTGTCAACATTTTATGCAACACGCCAACATGGCACCATGTCAACATGACACATATAAGATGTCAGCATTAAACCATGGCAATGTCAACATAGCAGCTTGTCAGCATATCTGAACAATTGCGACTCTTGCTCCTGAATCTGCTCCAGAAGTCGCCGAAGTCTTTACTATGGCTGAATACCCCTTGAAGTGAACAAATCAATTGGAACAAGCTCCCACTCTTTGTATATAGTTCTATGAAACGCTTTGCAATCACTTCCATTTCCACATATAGCAATATAGTTGTTGAATGTTGTTGATTCAAAATTCTTCTATACCATCTTCTACCACTACCAACAGCATGGAGGTGGACAAAGAAATGTTTGTAGCAGGAGGTACCTCCCAGCGTTGCTGATCACAAACCGTCATCATTACGGCCGCCCTTCTCAACAAACTGATCCGCTTCCACCGGCAGTGACCGCGACCAGATTCCACTCCTCCTGCTGCCACGCGGCATAGGGATGTCGTTGTGCTTCCCTTTGCAAAGCCACCTGCATCACGTCGAAGTCGGTGCCCACAAAGCATTGCAAAATGCGTTCCTGAAAGAGACCCGACCGTGGGATCAGAGGTCGAGGTTTTTCCAAAACCGTGTGGACCGAACCCGGCATCCAAATCAAGTGACCGACGGTTTCAGAAGTTCACCCGTATATGATCATGCAGCAGGTCACCAGAAACCGTGCTTTTCCATCATGTTTGCTCTGAGAAATAGTTGGCGACGTTCTCGAAAACACCACGATGACACAAACCCGACCGGAAAAAAGCGGTGATTCTCAGCGGTGTTGGCCGAAATGCACCGCGCAGACGACACCGCGGGCGGTGTCCGGGACACACCGCGGATCGTCCCATTCTCAGCCCTTCGGGAGCATCGACACAGAGGTGGGTCGGGTCACCACCAGGCGCATGGGACACACCACATGACCTCTGTATGACCTCTTTTTTGGATAGGAGTCTGGTCGACCATATTTTTGGATACTTCATCCTCTGTCACTACTTATAGTAGCAAGTGCATCGCTATACTTATATAGGACTTATAGTAACAAGTGCATTTTCAGCTATGAACGTAGCAAGAAACTACTACCGCAGTCCTTCATGCGCTGGCGTCGTGCCTTGCGGGGTCGTGTGATACCGTCCTGACCAGGTCGACGGTCGACCGCAGCGGAACGAAGGAAGCCCACTGTATGAGGGAGGGGAGTCGGGGGCCCAGTCCTCGCCCCATGAGCCCCAAGACCAGGAGTCGGGGGTGGTGTAAGTGAACAAAGAGATTGGTGAGAAAAGAGGTGGAGACTCGCAATCACGTTCAGCCAGCTACAAAACCGGAGGCAGTTGGTCGAAGCTTAAGCAGTTTACTGCTGGTTGGCTGGCCAAGATGTGTATAAGTGGTGAAGTTTCAATGCGCCTCCTTGGTTTGACAAAGCGCTTGCAAAACGTCTTGCACGAAAACACCCTGACCGCCTCAAAAACCAGTTTCACCGGCGCCCCGCCGCGGTCCTCACTGCAGGGGAGATGTGAGAAGCGACACTGATCGCCCTTCGCACAGCCCCGCCGCGAATGAAGAAAGACCTCGGGGCGTTCGCGGCGCTTCGCGGTCCACAGAGATCTTCGCCGGCGATGCTGAGAAAGCGAGTTGACGTGGAAAAAAAGCGGTGCATCTTCTGGACTTCTGGTGACTCCACTCAAACACATATTCATCAAGTCTGAATGTAGACTCTTGACGAATCACCCCGATATGAAAAGGGCCTTTCAATCCATGTCATGGGTTTGTGAAATCTTTCGAGTTGCATCCGAGTTGTTGAAACGTCCTCGCTCGTCGAAGCAAAACAACTCCGAGTTTGGCACAACCGTCGACGTCTGTGACCCGCAGACCAACGGATGCATCAATGGAAGAAGTGTGGTGTTTCCACCTGCTCAACATGAAACTCACAATATTCCTTTTATATATATATATATTTATATATCACTCAAGCTGTTTTCCGCTGGTTCAAAGGTGCCCTTCCTGCTTTGCAGGATGAT